TTCGTGTTCCCTGGCCCCAAAAACACCCAGAAAACACATTTTTTATGAGTGTTAATTTTTCGACCGATTCCAATACTTTACCTTACACACTAGGTGTGTGCGGAAAAGTAAAAGCGGTAAGATTATGTCAGGGACACACTTCTAAAAATACATTTTTTTAAATATTCAATTGGAAAGCGGAACAAAGGTAACATTTATTTTGAAGGGCAAGTCATAGTTAGTAGGTAATAAGTGTCTCGTTTGCATTCTTATTTATTACACACAAAAAAATATGTGGCCAAATCAAATAAAGATGCGATTATTAAGTACTCTGCGGTCAAATTTAAATTCAATGCAGTCATTTTTATAATTCTATGTTAGATTGGCGTTTATAATTTGGTCGCATATTTTTGTGTGTGGGAAAATCAACCCTGGTGAGAAAAGTAATCGACCGTATTTAGTTTTGCTTGAAAAGCAAATATGATTTGTCGCCTCAAATTATGGCAGCATCCAGCATCACAAAAAATAAAAAATAAATCACAGTCAATAGCACACATCGGTCGGCAGATTGCATTGAATACTCCAATCATATCCACTGGCCACTCCTTTTATTTACAGACGGGATTTGAGTTTTTCAAAACAAATCCACATAATTTTCCCGAAAAATATGGAATTTTTGGTCAAGTTTATCAGTCCATAAATGTAGTAAATATTTTCGTTATTTGTTTTTGGTGAGGCATAACAGTTTGCTTGGGGTGAACATACGCAATACGTTGAGTTGTGTACATATGGATTAATGTGAGCGCTATCTATCCAGTCGCTGCCATCTACTAATGTCTACATATCCGTGCATCTTGATAAATGAAATGGTGTGTAAACACCTTATAGCTTCTGTAATTTTTATTACTTTCAGCAACTAGACAGATAACATTCACCTAAATTTGTCGCAAATGTTGTTTACCGCATATTGCGTTGATAAGATAAACAAAGGTTAGAGTCAAATCTGAACCCATATACATATGTATTTTGTGACGTTTTCATTGATTTGCACTGATACAAGCATTTTCGTGTCTGTTTAGAAAACAGCTGGTTCCGTACATTAGATGCAAACCTTACGCACGACATGCCAGTTGAGCTTCAGCTATCTACAGGTAAACATCATTCAACAAGTGTTCATATTCATCGATTGATACGTTTCAAGTATGGCCAAAATAATTTCGGGTACCGAAACAGCAAAGTAAGTGATTGAAAAATTACCTCTTACTGATAATAATTTCGTAAATGTGGTAATCAATTTGTTTTCAATGAAATTATGTAATTTTTTCTCGTATTTTGTTGTCTGGCTTCCGAAGTCTTTAATTACTTGTAGTAGAGAGACTCCGTGTTCAGCAGAGGTCATTCGGTTTCATATATTTAGTTTCATTGAACAGTTCGATCTATTCGCCAAAACCCATCTTTTAAACAACTTTTTTCTCCGATTCCCTTTAAGAAACCTTAAGAAAACGGTCACACGATTTGATATGTACATTTCAAGTAAAACTAGTTCGATTTGTTTTACACATAAAAAAACATTAGACAGACGGCGTCTGACAGATGTTACATTTATCTACAACAATACCGATATACACAGAGCGCTTGCGTACAACTCACTGCGTACGATCAGTGAATGAATGAATTGCCATAGAGAGTGACGTTTTTAAAAAAACACTCGTTTAGTTGAAATTCAGCTGGCAGTGTGACGACATCAAACAAATCGACTTTTTTCATAGCACAATTCTTTAAAAAGACATTTTTTGATAGAAAATTTTCAGTTTTTAAATTTTCTCATTCAGTGTTTATTCTTTCGCAATTTTTCGTTGAAGGTGTCTAATGGCACAGTTAATTTCGGGAACAGACATCGCCAAGTAAGTGTGATAAGCAAAAGCAGCATATTTCTGTCTCAAAACACATGCCAACCGGCATTTTTGACAGTTCTATGTTGTATGTGCGCACACAATAAGTGTGAACAGCAAACTATTCCGTGTGTAACTATTTCGTAAGAAAAAAATTGCTTAGTTTCATTTGTTGGATTTTTGGAGTTGAATAGAATATGTGTGTTATCTGAATACAAAAACTTTTTTAAACTGATTAATTTCAAGTGATTTCTACCGCTGGTACATTTTTCTATTCAATATTTGTTGTTGTTTTCAATGAAACAATTTCTAATCGCATAATGTTTGAGTTCAATTGCTAATATGCTATTGGAAATGGTTGAGAACATCCAAATAAATACAATTTTCAATTAATTGAATGCGAAAGTGCGATAATTTTAGACAGCTTATCATTTAACACATCGTCTGAGTTTTTTGTATATTTTTACATTGTGGCAGTCCAACGCGGCACGGAATTTGTGTAAATTATTGAATAGACAGCTATTTTCAGCGACTTCTGATAATTTTGTTTTCGATTTGAAAATCGAGTTTATTTTTGTTGAAAACATGGCTTAAATGGGGGGTATGTGTGAGAGAATGAGAAAGAGCGAGAATGTAGCAACAAGAGTGTGAAAAAGATCGAGAATATAGGGAATAAAGCAGAGCAGCGTGAGAGCAAGAGTGTTAGAGCACGACAGTACTAGAGAATGAGAGAGAGTGAAGTTTGTAGATAGAGGTGCGAAAGAGACCGGAATAAAATCATTCACAAATGAAACAAACGGGCGATATTTTGTATGCAAAGCCAACGGCAATCGCACCGTGCTTCTTTCCACTGTTTCAATACATTGTTTGGTCATCTCATTTCAACGCACACATACAATTCATTCCACACTCAATTAACATAAAGCAATGCGCAAAGGTCAAGGTAACGCTGTGAATGACAACAATGCTATTTTCAAAGGGTTGGATGATTGCATATGAAAGAGATGAATTGAGAACAAACAAAATCGACCAGCAATGTTTTATCTGTTTCATGCGGTTCTCTTGTAACTGTATTCGTCAGTGAAAAAAAAAATGAATACCGTGTGATTTTTATGTCGCTCCTCTTCGCATATCTCTATTAAAAAAAACTTCAAACAATTTTTTTGTGATAAATACGATTTATTTCATGAAGTCTGAAAAAATGTACTTTGAAGAAAAATGACTAAATATTTAAATTTTTCCCCAGATCAATTCGTCAGGAATTGAGGCAGTTAGTGTCGCAGATTCAAAAGCAGAATCCCACTTTGGTGCCAGGTTTGGCAATCGTTCAAGTTGGTGGTCGTGATGATTCGAATGTCTACATTCGCATGAAAATTCGGGCGGCCGCTGAAATCGGCATTGAAGCTCAACACGTCAAACTACCCAGAACCATTACACAAAGTGAACTTCTTGCAAAGGTATATTACTGTTACTTTGTCCGCTCAAACAAATATTTACTATTTCATTATCTCTCATCAGTTGGACGAGTTAAACAATGACGAAAATGTGCATGGAATTATTGTCCAAATGCCATTGGATTGTGAGGAAAAAATTGACTCAGATTTGGTGACCGATTACGTCAGTCCCGAAAAAGATGTCGATGGGTAAGCAAATTTACTATCTCATTTGAAAATTTCCGTTAAAAAACAATCTATTCTTGCCGCAGAGCTAATCATAAAATTCAATTTTTAATTATCAAATTTTTTTTTCAGATTGCATACATTGAACGAAGGACGAACGGCAATCAATACTAAAACTGGTTTTGTTCCATGCACACCAAACGGATGCATTGAATTGATCAAACGATCGGGCATTCCGATGGCAGGCACCAGAGCGGTTGTTCTTGGTAAGCAAACTGATTTGGTGACCCCAAAAGGTCGTGTTTTTTTATCAGTTTATGAATTTGTGATGGTGCAGTATTTGTAAATAGCGATAATTAGTAAAATAAGCGATAAGTAGAATAATACTCATGTTTTTGTATGTCTCTGTTGAACCAAAGGTCGCAGCAAGATTGTGGGCACGCCAGTTTCGGAGTTACTCAAATGGAATGATGCAACCGTCACTGTTTGCCATTCGAAAACAAAAAATCTTCCCGATGTGGTATGTGTTATACAATATACACTGAGTCTAATATTTTTGGTAGACAAAATTTAGCATGGCACACTCCACTCACACGCCATTCGTATATAAATCCTATGTCAATGGAGAGTTTCTCTGCTTACTTTGATTGTTATTTTGTCTATCAAAAAAATTTGATTCACTGTAGATTTTAATTCAGTGTTTTTCATACATAAAATGTGCTTTTGTATTGACGTAGATTAGAGAGGCTGACATTTTGGTTGTTGCTATCGGCAGAGCAAAATTTGTTAAGGGAGACTGGATTAAACCGAATGCCGTTGTTATTGATTGTGGAATTAATTCGATTTCCGGTGAGTTACGATTGATTGAGATATTGGAATGAGACAAATTGTTGAAATTAGACAAAATATATAGAGAGAAAGGCGAAAACTATTAAATTTTTATATGAAAAGAGATAAGAGACAAAAAGAGAAATCGATATGTCCGATCGATTTTAATCTATCAATCACACAATATGGATACGTATGTCTAAAGTTCCGACTTCTTCGAAAGTCCATACATTTCGTACTCCTCGTGTATAACATCGTTCTTTTTTACCGAGTATGTTTGATTGGAACTTATAGAAGAAAAACATGTATTTTGTCACCAATTTCAATATTCTCCATTAAAAATGTTCCAAACTAAAAATGTCCATCTAACCTTTAATCTTCGTTTCTATTTTTTTCTGCCAGTGCTCGACCCTACCACAAATACCACCGTGCAACGTTTATGCGGTGATGTTGATTTTGACGAAGCATCCAAAGTCGCCTCATACATAACACCAGTACCGGGTGGTGTTGGACCCATGACAGTATAATTAGTAAAATAAGCGATAAGTAGAATAATACTCATGTTTTTGTATGTCTCTGTTGAACCAAAGGTAGCCATGTTAATGAAAAATACCGTACAATCCTATGTACATTGGGTGAATCGTATCACCGGCTCTAAACAGTGGAGCCTATCTCCATTACCGCTTAACTTGATCAAACCAGTTCCCAGTGACATTGCAATTGCACGTGCACAACAACCGAAAGACATAAAAAAATTGGCCGACGAAATTGGTTTGCAATCGAGCGAAGTGAATTTGTTCGGTCCGAAAAAGGCGAAAATCTCACTGAACACATTGACCCGTCTTCGAGACCGACCCGATGGAAAATATGTTGTTGTTGCTGGGTGAGTCATTATAAGGGTTTTTTTTTTGGAAACGACAAGCGATTTTCCACTTGATGACACTCAATATTAAAAAATACTTGAATATTATTCGTGTTCCCATATAACTCATTTGCGGAGTAATTTTGTCGATGACGGGACTGTGCGGAGTTCGGCGGAGATAGCATGCAAATGCTGTGTGTGCCAGTGCAACAGCATTCTTTGCTGTTCATAGATTTATTTTGTCCAATCGAACATCTTAGTAGCCGTACACACAGCTAAGTTACTAATCATCTGCGTAAGAATGATACACATAGAAGTGCTGTTACCCTCGTACACACAGAGTTTGTATTTCATCTCCGCCAAACTCCGCACAGTCCCGCCACCGTCAAAATTACTCCGCAAATGAATTATATGGGTTCCTCGTATCCCTTTCAGAATCACACCGACACCATTGGGAGAAGGAAAAAGTACGTGTACAATTGGTTTGGCTCAAGCATTGGCGGCAACAAAATGTGTGAATGCAATGGCATGCCTACGTCAACCATCACAAGGCCCAACATTTGGGTGAGTTACGGCCGAACAAACATTTTTAATTTTCCACACACTTTAAATGGTAACATTTTTCTCCAACAATAGTATAAAAGGTGGTGCAGCCGGTGGTGGATACAGTCAAGTGATTCCAATGGAAGATTTCAATCTTCATCTAACGGGTGACATTCATGCGATCACCGCTGCCAACAATTTACTTGCCGCCCAATTGGATGCTCGTATATTCCACGAGTCGACGCAAACAACCGAAGCCCTCTACAACCGTTTGGTACCGACAATCAAAGGAAAACGTAGTTTTTCAACGATTCAATTACGCCGCTTGCAACGATTGAATATCCAAAAGACGGATCCCAATGAATTGACTGCTGACGAAATTACACGATTCAGTCGATTGAATATTGATCCGAAAAATGTGGTTTGGACACGTGTGCTCGATATTAACGATCGTTATTTGCGTGAAATCACCATCGGTGAATCGAAAACAGAAAAAGGTTTTACACGTAAAGAGAGTTTTGCAATTTCGGTTGCAAGTGAAATAATGGCAATTTTAGCATTGGCCCAAGATTTGACCGACATGAAAGAACGTTTAGCCAAAATGGTGGTTGCCTTCGATTTGAATGGAAATGCCGTATTGGCCGATGACTTGGGCATTACTGGTGCCTTAATGGTATTACTTAAAGATACAATTGAACCGACATTGATGCAAACTTTGGAGGGAACACCAGTTTTTGTACATGCCGGACCATTTGCGAACATTGCACACGGATGCTCGTCAATTGTTTCCGATAATATTGCATTGAAATTGGTGGGACAAAATGGTTTTTGTCTTACGGAAGCCGGATTTGGATCCGACATTGGCATGGAGAAATTCATGGACATTAAATGTCGCACCTCACAAAAGGTACCCGATGCTGTTGTACTTGTGACCACTGTTCGAGCATTGAAAATGCACGGCGGTGGACCGGCGGTTACACCAGGTAAAGTGGCACTATTTCATGAATACTATGTATTTTAAAAAGGACTCGATGACGAACACAACTTGAATAATTTTCTATATTTATAGGGGCACCATTGAAAAGTGAGTACACCAGCGAAAATATTGACTTGGTCAAACAGGGACTACCAAATTTGATTAAACACATTAGCAATGGCACCAAATTTGGCGTACCAGTTGTCGTTTGCATTAATGTTCATGCGTAAGTTTTTGAAAAATATTTTGTCACACTTTTTGGATTTTTCATTGGAGGAAATTTTTGAATGAAATTGACATTGTCTTTTATTCCAAATTAATTTCTTTAATTCAACAAATTTTTTTTGCAGACATGACACAGAAGCCGAATTGGAAGTGGTGAAAAAAGCAGCCATTGAAAATGGAGCATTCGATGCTGTTGTCAGCTATCATTACGCCGAAGGTGGAAAAGGTGCTGAAAAACTCGCGGACGCTCTTGTCAAGGCTTGTTCTAATAAAAAATCAACATTCCGCTTTTTGTACGATTTGAACAAACCGATCGAAGAAAAAATAACGAAAATCGCACAAGAAATGTACGGTGCCGGAGAGGTTGAATTCCAGCCCACTGTCAAAGAGAAAATTCAAATGTACAACGCACAAGTGAGTCGATTTTTTAAAGAAGAAAGATAGATGAATAAAAATGTGCTGATTGATTGTGTTCCATATTAAGCACGTTTTGATCCTTCTTCATATTTTAACTATTTAATAAATTTTAACTATCCAATTAACTTTCTCTCATTTCCAGGGTTTCAATCTCCTGCCAATTTGTATGGCAAAAACATCGAACTCATTGACCGCCGATCCAACGATCAAAGGTGCACCACTTGGATTTAAAATCGTTGTGAATGATATCTTTATATCAGCCGGAGCCGGATTTATCGTACCAATTTGTGGCGATATTGCTAAAATGCCCGGATTGCCAACACGACCGTGCTTCTACGACATGGACTTGAATACGGAAAATGGCGAAATTCAAGGACTTTTTTAAATGATAATAATAAGACAGATCTATTACGACAGCTATGCAGTACTGCGACTATTTTAGAATACCTAAATGGTTATTGGACGACGAAAGAAGAATTAAGAACTTGAAATGAAGATTGTTATACTTGAATTTGTTAAGTAATTTTTAACATATTTGTCAAATTTGAATGCAGACTGAAAGATAAATATTTCTGTTTTGCTTTAGAGACGAAGTTGATTAAATAAAGCCATATTTTGAATTTTTTTAAAAGACACATTTTTGAAGAAAATTTGTTTTTCCATATTTTGTTAATAATAATATATCTAATAATAATTTATATATCTGTATAAAATCCATCGTGGGGACGCTATATTGTATTTTAAAACAAATTAGCAAAATACACAAAAAAAATTAGAAAATTTGACAAAAATATAATTTCCAGGGCGTTATTTTGCTAGGATTACATTTTGAAGATGCAGCAAAGTGCAAAAAGTGACAAAAATGAAAATTATGAATACGTGGCATAGAGTACATTATAATTACTAGTTAATACCAGAATATAAAGAGGATGTGTTTAGTGTAATGGTTCCGAATCAAAAAACAAAAATTCATTTTGTTGACATATACTAAACATAATTCTAGTCAACAAGACAACAACAGAATGAAATTATTTTTTGGCTTTAGTTATTTTTCATCAAATCCCAGCTCCGTGTAAAATTTCAAGTCGATGTGTGAACATTTAAGCGAAAATTTTTAGATTTTGTATGAAACCCAATGCTCTGATTGACGAATGAGTTCTGAAAAAAAGTTTGCAGGAAAAAGTTTTGTGGCGATTCATGGTGCTTTAGTAAATTGGGCATGCGGAATTCAAAAATACATGAATTTTGAGCAAAAATATTGACGGAAGCATATGTTTTAGATGACTTTTTTGAAAATCGATGGGCGAAAAAAAATTCCGTTGCAACTTTTTTTCATAAAAAATGAAAAGTGCATTTTTGTGATGGGCCTATCTTATAGAGCTCTTCTAATACTATCTACAACAATACTAAAACCAATTCACTTTCATACGAATTTATTGAAAAAAATTCATTTGAAAAATGACGAACTTTAAATCGAGCGGAGTGAAAATGAGGGGGGTGTAGGCCAAAGTGCCAGAACAAAAAATGTTACTCTCGACCAGGTCTACAAAAGCCGCACTAGCCGTTTTTTTCATTTTCAAAAATAAAAAATCGATGCACCCTACTGTACAACAAGGCCTAGTCAATATCTTCCAATGATAACGTTATGATATAGATTTTGGATAACACAAAACAATCACTAGAACTTGACTTAAGTGAGAGGCGAACTTTCGGATCTACCAACTGTTCAAATATGTTTCTATACGAACGACGTTATCCTAGTTCAGAATCTAAAGGTGAAAGAAAGATGAGTAAATAAAATACGATATGTGCCATGTTTTGACTCGATTCATTTATTTAATTCCATTTTCTTTACAAATTATTTTGAAGCTGGCAACATTGGTGCGATAAGGACAATTTCCAAACATGATTCATTACTTTTGTTTTACTTCTTTCCATTATGAATATTCTTCATGTGCTGATTGGCGTTTCCTTTCAGTGTAAAACGTGCACCACACAAATTGCATGAAAATGGTTTTTCACCGATATGATGAGTTCCCATATGACCTACTAATTGCGGCAATTTTTGCATTGAAACTTTGCACACATAACATTGATAATGGCGACGGTTGCAGCCTATCTCATGTTCCTTCTTATCAACTTCTTCTTCAAATGGCCGCTGACATTTGGCGCAACAGAATGGACGCTGTTTGGCATGTGTTGCCAAATGTTTCTTCAGTTCAATCTTTTGGAAAAACTTCTTTTCACAAATACCGCATTTAAATGGTTTTTCGCCAGTGTGATGGACTTGCATGTGCAGTTTCAAATGACCTTTATTGAAACGTTTGTATATCTGACAGATATGACATTCGAATCGGCGACGCTTGCATTTATTTTCATGCACTTGTTTTTTGTCTTCAGCAGCGAATCGTTGACCACATTTTGAACAGTCGAATGGAAGTTGTTGGCGGTGAGTGCGTGAATGGGACTTCAATTCATTTAGCCTAACAAATGCCTTCGAACATACACGGCATGCGAATGGTTTTTCACCACTGTGGATTCGCATGTGGTGTTTTAAATCTTTCAAATACAGAGTGGTAAATTTGCACAAGTAGCACTTGAACTGGCGACCATTGCATTTGGTTTCATGACTGATTTTATCAACTTCTTCGGCAAATCTACGACGACACTTCGAGCAATCAAATGGCAATTCAGGAACATGGATTATTTTGTGACGATTCAAATCAAACTTTTGTGAAAAAGCCTTCCCGCAAATTTCGCATTCGAATGGTTTTTCGCCGGTGTGAGTTCGAATATGTCTTTTGAGATTCGATGCATATGGTGTGAGATAATTGCAAAAAGTACAACGATGCAACTTCTTAATCTGTTCCGTTGACATTTTCCGAGGTTTGGTCTTGTTGTTTTTCTTTGCTCTTCTTGGTCCCTTGACTTTTGCACGACGCTTGGGCTGTTCACCGTTAACATTATCCAAGCCAACATCACCTTGATCATCATTGGCACCCTTACTTGAACCTGCTCCCTTCGTGGAGTTACCTTCTTTCTTCACACAATCCCCTTCAAATTCCATTTCCTCCTTCACGTCATCGCGCAAATACTCGCTATCGCTCTCGCTCTCCGATTTAACATTGACACTGGCTTCGACCGATGATGGTTTTGTCGGGCATACAATCAGAGATGCATTATCTTCCGGCTCTTGCTTGATGCTCTCCTCTTTGATTTCCATATGCCAACACTTTGCCTTGCACTTACATTTGCGATTGGCCTTGCCTTTCGTGCCTTGCTCACCGATTTGAGTCAAACTCCAGGTAGATTACACTTTTACTTTTCCGCACACACCTAGTGTGTAAGGTAAAGTATTGGAATCGGTCGAAAAATTAACACCCATAAAAAATGTGTTTTCTGGGTGTTTTTGGGGCCAGGGAACACGAA